CTACTTCTCTGTAGTGACCAGCAGGGGGCGACTCCTCTGCTCCCATAGACGTCTATGAGGAAATGACTCTACTTCTCTGCAGTGACCAGCAGGGGGCGACTCCTCTGCTCCCATAGACGTCTATGAGGAAATGACTCTACTTCTCTCTTGATTTATTCCTTCAGTAAACGTTGTAAACATGAGTTTATGGTCTCAATCTCTAGTTTCAAGTCTTCTTCAACACAACATGATGTTCATTTAGTACATTATGGTCCATTTAAGTCCGTCCCTCTCAGTCCAAATATGGTCACTTCTGTTCAGTGGTCAAACCGGGGGGGGGCGCCGTCTGCGTCCACTTGTTAAACACACGTTTATTTACTGTAATCCCTTGTTGGTGCTTTCAGTGGTCTGTTTGTCTCTCTGCTCGCTGTTGGTTTCGATGCTCTGGCGTACTCGTGATTCTGTCGACATCCACATCGGGTGTTTTTACCTCGACGGCCGCGCTGTGAAACCTGGTGTCTTTTCTCACAGAACCCCGGCAACCTTTCTCTGTACATTCAATTAGAGGACACTATTGATCGCTGAAGGATAGGCGGGTTGTTGTGGGCGCAGCGGTAATAAGACTCAGGGCGAAGAAGAAGAAAAAACGCTACGGAGCAGTCAAACAGAATATCAAATAATCAATAAAGAAGCGAGAGTCATTTCAGCACAGTGTAGTTCCAAGAAATACAGAAAACAAAACACGCCGCATGTTGGAAACGTCTTTCTGTCAAATTATCGACGTGCATCAAGAGGATCTAATCATGGTCCGTTCTCACTGCTCCCTCCGGACCGCAGCAGCGTGACTGACGGGAACTGATGGAATCGACCCTTCTCCAAGTCCCGCCCCTTCATCAGAGACCGGCCAATCAGTGTGCACCCGTAGCCAGCTCGGTGGTATTTCATGACGTCAAACAAACCCATAGCTTTAGGGTCGGGCCCACCTTTGATTGACACGTGGCTGCCACGGCCGCGCACGGCGTCGCTACGTCACTTCCTGGTCATCGGCAGCAAAAAAAAAAAGCCAAACTCACTGCTTCAAAAACGCGCGTCCAGAAAGCTATGAGAGGCGTAACCATGACTACGCCCGCCTCCTAAAAACAAATCAATTCACCCAGTTCACACTCATCTCTGTCGACACACGAACAAACGCAACGTCGCCTTCAAGAGACGTTTAATTCAGCTCCGGAGCTCAGAAGTGTCTGCCAGCGAGTTCCCTCTGGAGCCGCACGGCGGCGGGAGCTGAGTGACCGTTGGCCGCTTCGTCTTTGAGGACTAAACGTCTTTGTGTCTTTTACATTTTACTGACAAAATGAGTTAAATCTGGATCGACAAAAATAAGACCCTCCGATGCCGCTGTCTCACGCACAGGGGTCCCTGTGACCTTTGACCCCAGGATGTGTTCGGGGGGGTGCTACAGCCATGCTAACATTAGGGTGCCGCTGTGTCACAGATGATGTGTTTGTGTCACGCAGGTTGTTTCTGTGCTCGTGTTGTTTCATCACCACACTGTTGTGATGTTGTTGTCTTGATCACTTTAGTTTACTCAAGTTCTCGTGCCTCACACACACACACACACACACACACACACACACACACACACACAGGCCTATGACTAAGCCTTGGAGGTCAAAGGTTTCATATCAGACGTCTAGACAGAAATCTCCAGACGATTCGATGTCACACACCTTCATGATGTCATAGCAGGTGTGTGTGTGTGTGTGTGTGTGAGCGGGAGAGGAGCATCGTGGTCGACGTGTCGGGGGAGGGGGGGGGCGGTTTGGATTCGGCATTGCCGCGAGGGATGGCTGCGTCCGTTCACATCTGACACGAGCGTTCGCGGCGAGGAGGAAGCGCGGATAAAAAAGTCCGAATCAGAATCCTCACAATAATAATCAGCATGTTTGTCGCCATTTGGCTCAATTCATCCACCGCACAGGAAGTGCTGCCCCCCCCCGCCACAATAAGGCAGAATATCATAAAGCCCCAAAGACATCTTTGGTAAATGTTTGTCTGCCCCGCAAGCATTGTGCACACCAGTGTGTGTGTGTGTGTGTGTGTGTGTGTTACATAACTGGGATTAAAGCAGCCAGCACTCCCTGCACCTTACAGACGTCTCTTTAACACGAGATGTTTTAATGAAGACTCCCAGTCCAGTACACAGGAGGATTAAGCAGCCATTTGTGCACATGCGTGTGCGTAATAAGCTGTCACGTCGCGCTGTGCGCTGATCACGCTATTTACAGGGATTCTGACGGTATCCGCTATGTGGCGGTATCGTTTCCTCAAGTCAACACATGAATTCTGTGACCCTGAAGCACACAGAGGCCTCCCCATCAGCCATCAGCTGGCCAACTAGTTGCTTGTTAGCACGTTAGCGCGTTGTGGCTGTTGCGTCGCCACCGGAGGCTCGACAGACTTAAATAAATGGTTTTCTGACGCAACGTGACTTACGTCGGCGTTTCCGAAACCAAAAACCCTCCGAGCGGACTGCGCTCCTCTGATGGGCTCGAGTTGTGTTGTTCCTCCTGTGGTGTGTTTCCACGTAGCAACACTTGCCTCTTGTTGCGAGCTTTACCCAGCAGGCAGTTCGTTAAATGTACAACTATTAGCGTTATAAATAGTTTATGTGTCACCGGCTGTCGTGTTGTGTTGTTTTACACTCTTAGAGAGGGTTTGTTGTGCGTTATTCATTGTGGTTATAAAGTGATAACAATGACTCAACGTCATCACGCGTGACACAAAGTAGCTCCGCCATGACGCGTGGAAACTAAACCCTCCGCCGGCTGGCGAGCAACGTCCGTTGTTACGACGTGACGCCGCTATGAGCGTGTGGAATTCATACACGGGTAGAAGCGGTACGCCGAGGTGAAGGGGGGGAGAGGAGAGCAGAGGAAACAAGAGCTAGGAAAGAGGGAGGGGAGGAAAGGAGCTGGTAGGCCATGATAGGAAACGAGGAATCAAGGTCAGCAAAGAAGAAAAGAACGAGAGACAAGAAACCAGGAGGAATTCAGGAGACGAGTGGAGGAGAAGAACACCATCAGCGGAGGATGTCGATGATGGAGAGGACAATAAAGGAAAGGAAGCGAGGGCAGAGGAGAGGAATCATCACTCCTCCAGGAGGAGAGAAGATCCCACAGAGGATGGAAGGGGGGGAACAGAAATAGAAAGCGGAGAGAGACGGAAGTGAGGAAGACGTCTCGTCTTGACGATGAGTGGAGCGACGAGAGGACGACGCAGACACGACGGAGGGGCGGAGTAAGACGGATGACGGACGCAAGAACATCATCGGTGAGCGATGGCTGAGGAAACGGGCGGGGGGGAGGAAAGAGGGGAGCATCAGTGGGGGGAGAGAGAGAGAGAGAGAGACACCCACACAGGTCAGACCTCATCCAATGACCCGGAGGTAATAATAGTCGTATTAAAAGAAACGGAACAGCAGGAACTTATTGCTCATCTCTGTTTTTTCTCGCGCGCTCTTATTTTGGCGGTTGTGCCAGTAAGGAAGCCGCTCAGGAGGAGGAACCAAACGGACCGCCGGAGAACCAGAGATCCGGAGAACGCGTTCCCTGTAAACTCCTGAAGAAGCGCGGCCTCTTTACTCGTCACACGTGAGCAGAGGAAAAGAAGAATATCTAGAACTATACGAAGAACAATACGAATGGACTGAGCAGAAATGAACCCAGGACAGACGCCCAGCGTGGATCCTCTCGTACTTTATGTACGTACACTGTGTGTTTAGAGAAATGACTCCTGCCCCCCCCCCGATGGGTGACATGGAGCATTCTGTGAAGCTTCAGGACCTCGGTGGGATGAAGTCTTTACTGCGTGTGCACCAGCGGGCCTCCGATTTAGAAACAAATATCTGCGTGTTATGAGCAGCTTCCGGGGGGGGGTCTGTTACGCAATCCGCACCGGCTGAGAAGCAGACGTGTGATCACCTGGGAGATGTTTAGTGCTCCCAGTGTGCGTGTGTGTGTGTGTGCTGTGATGAGTCGCTTGCTCGCAAAGAAAGTTGCCGTGTTTTGTTGATTATTATTTCTATTACTCTCTGTATATCTTTATTATATATTTAGTGTCGGCGTTCTGCAGGAGGTGCATCGCGGTCCTGCAGCTGTTATTAGTCAAATCACTTTTTTTATTGTGCTTTTACTTTATTTAATGCTCGTGGCTGCTGACAAGCAGTTCTTTTGTCTGAATGAATCAAATCCAAAGAAACAATTATTGCTCCTCTGTGCTGCAGCTGTTGTGTGTGTGCGCGCGCGTGCGTGCGTGCGTGTTGCAGCAGAAACTTCACGGTTTGCCTGACATTTAACAGCGGGGCCGATGGAGGTGTTTAACGTGCACCCTCTGGGCCACCGGGAACGCGCTGACGTGCGTGCACACATATTCTGCGGCTACATCCATCTCTCGCCCTTGCTTCGGTTTCGTGCATGCGCACGAGCCTGTATGTAAGCACGTGGAACCGCTCTCACGCACGCACACACACACACACACACACACACAAAAAGAGCCCCTGCACATCCACCTCACGCGCACGCAAAACGCGTGGACGCGCAAAGAACAGAGCCCACGGAGACTGGCGCGAACTCCGCAGCCCGCCTCGCGCTCTTTCCCTCACACGCACGCGTGCTCTCTCCCTCCCTCTGCACCCCTTCCCTCCCCAGCATTAGTCAACACTGATCGATCACAGGGGATTCTGGGTAAACCGCTGCTTCCAGTCGTCTAATGGATCACATTTATTGATTAAATGTGGAATAACAGCTGAGAGCCCAAAACCTCTGGAGACGGATTTGACTCGAAGACACAGAACGCAACAAAGTGTCTTCAGCCCCAGAAGCTAACGGGGCTAACGGGGCTAACGGACCCGTTTCCCGCGCTCACAGCTGCACTTAATCAATCAATTAAGGAGGCTTACAGGTGTTAATGCGCGCGCCCCGCGGCTTGGGTCGCGTGCGCAGGGACGAGGAGACGCGTCTCACCTGCTCCGGGGAGAAGCTCTCCCTCCGCCTGCGTACACGGAAAAACGCTCCTCCGATTATCGATTAGTCCCCACGCTGCGGGGGGGGCTCGCGCGCCTCACGTGCGGCCGGGTTCTTCCTCTGTGGTTCTCTGCGTCCGTCTCCTCTTGTCTCGCGGGGTCTACTCCTCCTCCTCCTCTCCCTCCTCCTCCTCCTCCTTCCTTCTTTTCTTCTCCTCCGCGGGATCAGCTCGTCCTCCGCGCGCCACCTGCACGGAGACGCAGCGGCTCGCGGTGCTTCTTCTCCTCCGCGCGACCCATCCCGATGTCAGCGGCTAGTGATGCGGAGAGGGAGGTGGAGCTCTCTCCTCCCTCTCTCTCTCCTCCCTCTCTCTCTCTCTCTCCCTCTCTCTCTCTCTTGAATACCTAAAAAAAACATTGAAACGTGTTTTAATCCTCCATATTTCTTTATCAATAGACTACAGAGTTCAGCACTTTAAGGGAGACACAACAGGTGTTTGGAATTGTTATCTTGGTACACATGTAAGTACACATACGTCCTTTTAAATATGTGCGTGTACATTTCCAGAAATGTGAAATTCAGTTGTATTGTAAACTTAATTCCCTCTTATGACCAGCAGGGAGCGACTCCTCTGCTCCCATAGACGTCTATGAGGAAATGACTCTACTTCTCTGTAGTGACCAGCAGGGGGCGACTCCTCTGCTCCCATAGACGTCTATGAGGAAATGACTCTACTTCTCTGTAGTGACCAGCAGGGGGCGACTCCTCTGCTCCCATAGACGTCAATGAGGAAATGACTCTACTTCTCTGTAGTGACCAGCAGGGGGCGACTCCTCTGCTCCCATAGACGTCTATGAGGAAATGACTCTACTTCTCTGTAGTGACCAGCAGGGGGCGACTCCTCTGCTCCCATAGACGTCTATGAGGAAATGACTCTACTTCTCTGTAGTGACCAGCAGGGGGCGACTCCTCTGCTCCCATAGACGTCTATGAGGAAATGACTCTACTTCTCTGTAGTGACCAGCAGGGGGCGACTCCTCTGCTCCCATAGACGTCTATGAGGAAATGACTCTACTTCTCTGTAGTGACCAGCAGGGGGCGACTCCTCTGCTCCCATAGACGTCTATGAGGAAATGACTCTACTTCTCTGTAGTGACCAGCAGGGGGCGACTCCTCTGCTCCCATAGACGTCTATGAGGAAATGACTCTACTTCTCTGTAGTGACCAGCAGGGGGCGACTCCTCTGCTCCCATAGACGTCTGGAAGCGGAGGCTTTGCCTTAAAAACCGCACTGAGCACAGATCAGATGCTCAATAGGAATGTGTGTCCCTGTGTGTGTGTGCGTGTCTATGTGTGTGTACACATACAATCCATCACCCCGTGCCGCCTCCATTACTCCTGCCGGGGTCTGGAAAGTGTGTAGATAGATGTGTGTGTGTGTGTGTGTGTGTGTGTGTGTGTGTGAGTCGGTATCCATGGGACATACTGATTCAATTACTGTATCATCATTAAGAGATGAATGGAGAGACATGGGGGGAGGCGAAGGAGACTCAAGTTAAAAAGACAGAGGGGGCTGAAGGGGTTGAGGGGGGTGAGGAGGGGGACATTCTCCAGAACAGACGCTTGTTGAAATAGAAGCGAGTGTTTGTTCGTGTGTGTGTGTGTGTGTGTGTGTGTGTTCCAACTGGCATGTAAACACTGGTTGAACTTAAACACAAGCACATGCGCGCACACACACACACACACACACACACAGAACCTCTGTGCTACGCTCGGCCAACAAGACAACCTGTGTTTTATCATTATGAATGAGTGTTCACTAAGAGGGATGTGTGTGTGTGTGTGTGTGTGTGTGTGTGTGTGTGTGTGTGTGTGTGTGTTTGACCTTTAGTTGATCTCCACACTCGAATAAACTGTGATTTTAAAAGGTCTTGAAATAACACCAATATCAGTGTGCGAGTCGCTTCCTGGCTGCTGATTGGCTGGCTGTGATGACGCGACGTCGTGGAAGATGCAACATGATTCAAGGCGTTAAACTGATGTTGAAAGTTAAGGACCCATCGCTGCGTCTATGAACGATGAAATGAGCCTGTCTCCCCCTGCTGGTCTCATTGGTGTACTGCACCACAGAAGCATCCTCTACTCACTCTTAACTTCTCCTGCTGATGTTGTGGATCTCTCCTCCTCCTCCTCCTCCTCCTCTGTCCTCCCAGTGCATAACGTATGATATGTTTAAAGTGGAGGTTCTTACCTCAAACCTTCAAACATATTCTGTGTGTTTCACGTTATAGGATAATTTACAACTGTGTACCTGGTATCTCCTCACTTTGTCCCTGTGTCGGCCCACCCAGGTGGACCCTTTCTCTCGCCTGAAGTTAGCTGCGATTGACTCCCGTGTGCAGGGGAATTTGAAGATGGATGGGTGGACTGTGGATCGATATAAGTTTTCCTCTGAGACTTTGTTGTTGTTGTTTTTCACCCTTTTCATCGTGTTGTTTGGAGAGAAGTCGGGTTGCCACGATGCAAGTAAAAGAAGTTCATGGCGACCGCGGGGACGGAGGAGGTTGGTCTGTGTACGAAGGAGAGGTTTGTGAGCTAAAAGCTACCAGATGCTAGTTTATATCCAATTAAAACACAAAGTAACAACGAGAGGAGGAAGTAGACACCGGGTGGCAACATGAATACAACTGTCCTCTTAACCCATGTTACATGGAGGATGTAATATATTGTGTTATGTACAGTACACATGTATATGCAAAGTATATACGCGTGTATGCAAAGTATATACAGCATCGACTTACTTTGTTCTGGAATATGAGATTATTCAAAAGCTGTACATGCATGTGGATGATCACCTTGTGTATGTTAAGGACATCGTTTGTCTCTGCGATGATTGTGGGCTGAACAACACGAGCATGCAAAACACGTCCATTGGATTTGAATGCACAGGCTTTGTCTTCACGCCGACGCTCCTTTCCGATGTGCTGGGAGGACCAAGGGGTCCGTCCTCGGTCTTCTGCAGAATCCTTCATGGTTTGACGCGTCGCGGATCTTCTCTAAAAACAGAAGTTCACTATCTACGTCCACAAGTAAAGGTTTTGGACGTGGACACAAATGGTACGCTGCGGTGTGTGCTCATTAATGCAACAGTTGAGGAGAGCTAGTGGGAGGGGGGTTAAAGAGGAGGTTCTGCATCCACTACATCAGGAGCAGATTTCCAGGAGTCCACAGAGGAGCACCACAAACTAGGACTGATAAGGTAAGGATCACAACCACTTGTTTCCTTCTTTTAAACTACAAGGTGCTTTTCTAAAGTAATTGTTTAAAGAGAAGATGTATGGACCATGTTTATATCAATCGATTACACATTCCCTCCATCTGATTGTCTTCTCTTTGAGATATGGCAGCGAACTCTTCCTCCAACGACTCCCTTCATCCTTCCAACCTCCCTTGCCTCTTCACACAACCAAGCTCCTTAATCTTCATTGCATCCAGCACCACCGTCCTCCTCCTCTTGGTGCCCCTCTTCGTCCTGGTGCTCTACCTGGGTTTCCAACGATGGCGGCGGCAGCGCTCCGCCTGCTCATCAGCGGCGACGAGTCACTCGGACAGCTTCGCCTACCACATGGTCTCCATCGAGCTGCTTGGGGTTCTGGGGTTCATCCTCAGCAACTCTAGTATCCACGTCCCTACATATTCTGTGGGGCTGTTTCTTCTGTCGGTGACCTGGTTCGGACAAACGTCCTTTCACATCCTGACCTGCGTGGAGCGCTACCTGGCCGTGGTCCATCCCGTCACCTACCTGAGCCTGAGGAGAGAGCGGGGCATCAGAATCAGAAACATCTCCATCGGAGGGGTTTGGCTGGTCTGTTTCGGTGAGGCGACTATGGACGTTTTGGGATATTTATCTTTAAATTTTAATTTTTGCATTCTGATCTTCGCCATGGCCGTAGTGTCTTTCTGCAGCCTGTCTGTTCTCTGCGTTCTGATTCGTCCACGGCCGGGGGAACAGGGTGGGGACAGGGTGGACCAATCCAAGCGGAGGGCCGTCTGCACCATCGTGGCCATCCTGGGAGTGCTGCTGTTGAGGTGTGCGACCGGGCTTGCTTGGGTTATTCTCTATAAGTTGGGGAAAGAGGATCCGTGTGAGTTTATACCAGCAGAAACTTGGACGAATGTCCTGACTAGTCTGGTTTTACCTCTTTTGTATCTACACCGAGCGGGAAGATTACCGGGTTGTAAGAACACCAATTAATGCGGTATGGAATTTGCAGAATTGACTTCCAAAGTGAAACAATTACGTATAAAGTCGAATTTTAAATTCAACTTGGCTTTCTAGCAACCCAGCTCTGAAGCATTGAAAGTCACCTTGAAAAGATACATACATTGACATTGCATTGATATTGCATTCATTGTTTCCCTACAAACAAAGTTGGGAGACAGATCGGCTGATGGAGGATAAACATCTGTTATAATTAGAGATTAAAAAAAAAAATGTAAACACCCTCCGTTAAAAAACATCTGATGTATTTTTGTAGATTTTCGTTTGATGTATAAGTGTTTTTTACTTCAATTAATTTAAGAAAAAATGTTGAGCTAAAAGAGGAGTTTGCAAGAGGCGTGATTAACATAACACAACCATGCAAATCAGTCAATGATATTTTATTTGAATACTCAGCAGGCTTCGTCTTCCCATCATTTGACTTCTGTCAACTTCTAATGGGGCAGAAGGTATCTGCAGTGGGCTTGATGTGTTGTGCTATTAAGTAGTTGAGCATGAAGGAATGTTTGATTTAAATATAAGCAGAGTTCATGTTATTTAGGAATCAACTGTTCAAGCAATTACGATGTTCTAATAAAATATATTCAAACAAGGAAGAAACAAGTTTTTTGTTGTTCGTTTTAATGGGTGCCAGGGAGCTGAACATGTTCAGCAAAGGCAAAGTGGAATATTTTATTACGTATTACACTGATGTAAAGGTTGTGTTTGTTTCATGCGAAAAACGAATGGTTTCCTTCCACAATGTCGTAACGTTTCGTATTTCGTATTCATCAATTTGACAAAATTCAAATGTATATAATTTGCGGACAAAATCAGTACCACCAAAATACTTCTTCACGGCCCTGAACACAAGGATTATACGCTTAGCAAAACATTTGCACACCTCATCATTGTACCTGACAGTCAAATGCGTACTAATTTGTGTTTCTATTCAAATCAGCCGTTCACGCCATGCCAAGCATATCAGTTGTGCATATTGGTGAATGAGAAATGGATATGGAAAAAAATTTTTTTTATGTGTGTTGATATTAAAAAAAAGCGACATAGAGGGATGACTGCCTTCTGACATTAGTTGATACCACCAGCCAATTTTTGATCTCGGCACTACTGATACACTAGATTTAAAAAAAATGAAGCAGCTTCTATTAAAAAGCAAAAAGAGTACAAAAAGGTGAAATTTACCATAGAGACACAACTTGATGACAAATACACAAAATCCACCACATGAAGACAAAAGCTCCAACAAGATCAAAACAATTGGAGGAATACAAAATAACTACATAGAGATTTAGATCCAGAGATACTGATTGAATCTAATCTGGTCCTTTTACAGATCTGCGGACGTTCTGACAAAACAGTAGTTTTCCTGCTCTGTGGAGAAAGAGAAGAGGCAACACCAGACTGCTGGGCAACGTTAACCACGTAGAGGCCAACCACAGAATACATATTTCATGTTCCTCGGCATCTGGCAAGGGGTACAATGCGCAGTAAACTGCAGTCCCCACAACCCTCACCAGCAGCACCCCCAGTATGACCATGATGGTGTAGAACGCTCTCATCTTTGCTCGGTCGACCCGCCGCCTTCCCTCCCCCCCGGCCCCCGGCCCCGGACCAATCAGAACGCGGAGAACAGCGAGGCTGCAGAAGGAGACGACGATGAACATGAAGGCTATGAAGCTTAGAGCGAAGATGTTGATTAAATTGTACATTGAATTGTTTTCACCAACGTACAGGCTTCCTGTGTTTGCAAAGCACAGCAGCCAAACATATCCGATGGAGACGTCTCTGACTCTGATCCACTTCTGGTTCTTCAGGCCCAGGTAGGTGACGGGGTGAACGACGGCCAGGTAGCGCTCCACACAGGTCAGAGAGTGAAACAGCTGCTGGCCACACCAGTGGACGGCGCAAAAGACAATACCCACCAGCATTTCTGGGAGACCAGCGAGGACGCCACAACAGCATAAAAGGTACCCTACGATATTCATCAGCTCGATGGCGACCATGTGGAAGGTGAAGACGTCGGAGTGGCTCGCCGCCGTGCCGGAGCGCCGTTGTTTGAGTCCCAGGTAGACGACGTAGACGCAGGGAGGGAGGACCAGCAGGAGGCTGCAGACGGTGAAAGTGGTGATGCTGGAGGCGCCGGCTGGACTTCTGTAGCAGTTCTGCAGGAATTCAAAGACATTGATGGAGGAAGAGTTGGAAGGAGGAAACGAGGAAGAGGAGTTGACTGACATGACTGGGGGCAAGAGGGATGAGTAGAATGAATAAGAAAGAAAATGGCAGAAATGGCCATTTTAGTGGGTTAACTTCTTTATGAAATATTCTGAATATTGGACTCACTGATAAAAGGAATTACAGTAAAAGCTAATATCTCTGTTAAATATCCTACGAGTCCAGAACCAACCATTGTTGGTATAACCACACGGTTTAGCATGTTAGCATGCTAATATTATCTAATTAGCAAAATCACAGCTAAAGCTAACACAAAATGTTGAGTTGCAGGTTTCAAATACAAACTCCAACCCGATAGTGGCCCTGTAGGGAAAAACTCAAACCATCACTGAAAGTATTACAATTTCTACTTTATTTCATGTTTCATTTCATAAGGTAATTAGATATTCCCACGTGAGAGGGACTCACACAAGTGTTAATAAAAATAGTCTTTGAAAGTACTTAATGGCATTTTAAAATCCACAAACGATCACATAGATGACTAAATATCGACGCACAATATGACGGTGCTGTATTGGTAGTAAAAATCGCTACAATAGAACAACAAGGAGATGGAAAAGTAACAAAAGCTTTCCTCGGAGAGTGAGAAAATGACAGAAAATAGGTAAAATGACCCAGAAATGTTTACATATTAGTGACAAACCACAATAAATGACTTCAAATAGATACACTATAGTAAAAAAAGATGCAGAACAATCAAATATATTGATAATGCACGAAAAATTGGAATAGAAAACATTATTGTATGAAAACATGGCACAGAGACTAAAAACCCCAAACACACATTTGTACCTGAGATGCATCCGACTAAAGATCTTTGCGACCTTCTTACATCACCCGTGTAACATCTGACATCCACAGCAGATGATTAGTATAGTCTCTATGCATTTCAGAATAGCAAAGAAACAGTGTTTTCACAGACGTCTTTACCTGCCAAAGGAACATTGTTTGGCCGTTGCCTTTACTTTGTTATGTGATGACAAATAACATTGAATAAAATACAAAGATACTCACTTTGACGGCTGATTTTAGATCGCACACTTTCTGACCTTCTGTCCTTTGTGTGTCTGGACTTATAACTGATGTGATGCTTTGCAGAAAAAAACCTACACATTTGAATCTGTGTGTGTGTGTTTTGCATGTTTTAAAACCCGTAAGCAGATCCAGAATCAGCGCTTTGCTGTAAGACCTTTATAAAATGTCTGTTATCAACCATCTACTTTTACACTTGGAATGTGTGAATTAGTGTAGAATTTGCTTATTTTACACTCTAGCAACAAAATCTCCAACTTAGATACATAATGTAAAGTGAAGACAAAGAATCTGCAGGTCTGCTGTCGCTTACATTTACATACATTGAATAAATGACCCTCTAGATTTTCTAAGAAACCAGTTTTCATCAAACGCAGGTGAAAAACAGCATTAAAACACAGATGTTCATTGTCAATGTCTTTATTATGAGTAGTTCTGGTTGTGAGAAATTTGCTTATTCACCTCATCTTTCACCAAGATGTTGTTTGACAGGATTCAAATGAGCTGTGACTAAAAATCTGGAATTATTCAAATCAAACACCGTCCGTCTCAATGTGTCACTTGTTATTTTAAGACCTAAACTACAAGATCAACTTTGGTCCAGTATTTTGCTAATCACAGTTGGGTATTTTATTTTGTCTACCACAATTTGTCAATTATTAGTAGTATTTGGTTAGATTAGCTAATTCCGCTGGTCTGTATGTAGACGTCTACCAACAAGGAGACAAGTAGCAGGTGGTATGTGCCAATGCCAGGAGAGGTGTGTACCGATCTCAGAGGGGTATGTAGCTGCATGTCCCAAAGTCAGGATCGACCTGCATGGACCCACCGCCTCGTTCATATACAAATCAAATTTATTGACATACTAGACAAACGCAGCATCTTGAAAGTCGCACAGCACAGCGTCTTCCATAAGGAAATATATCTTTTTCATCTCGTCCTTTTTCTGAAATTAAGGCTTTAGAAATTGAGATAAAGGGATTTCGTATTTGCTCAGAGGGACTGAAAATGGTAATCTGGCCAATGTTTGGTTAACCTACCCAGTCTGACTTACGGTATCCACCTGTGTAAGTAGTCCGACTCATTTCATTCAGACGGCAATGGAAAATGGGTTTGCAGTTAAATCCTCAGGTCATGGACCATGCACGGTCGACACACGGGTCCCGCTCTATCACATCATGTCAGGTCATGTGCCGGTGAGTCAGACTGCAATGCAAATCATATCAGTTGTAATGTGCAAAAGAAATATGAAAGAATATGCACCACAACTATGAAGAGAAACCAAACGAATGCAAAGAGATGCACAATGATTTTAAGGAGAAGCACAAAAAATTTTAAGAAATCAAAATATAACCACAAACGGGCCCAACAACAATATAGCAACACACAATTACCACAAAGAAACAGAATCTAAAGATAATGCATTTTAAAGAGATGATGATTGAATCTAATCTGGTCCTTTTACAGATCTGTTGATGTTCTGACAAAACAGTAGTTTTCCTGCTCTGTGGAGAAAGAGAAGAGGCAACACCAGACTGCTGGGCAACGTTAACCACGTAGAGGCCAACCACACAATACATGTTTCATATTCCTCGACATCTGGCGAGGCATACAATGCACAGTAAACTGCAGTCCCCACAACCCTCACCAGCAGCACCCCCAGTATAACCATGATGGTGTAGAACGCTCTCATCTTTGCTCGGTCGACCCGCCGCCTACCCTCCCCCCCGGCCCCCGGCCCCGGACCAATCAGAACGCGGAGAACAGCGAGGCTGCAGAAGGAGACGACGATGAACTTGAAGGCCATGAAGCTTAGAGCGAAGATGTTGATTAAATTGTACATTGAATTGTTTTCACCAACGTACAGGCTTCCTATGTTTGCAAAGCACAGCAGCCAAACACATCCGATGGAGACGTTTCTGACTCTGATCCACTTCTGGTTCTTCAGGCCCAGGTAGGTGACGGGGTGAACGACGGCCAGGTAGCGCTCCACACAGGTCAGAGTGTGAAACAGCTGCTGGCCCAAAAAGTTCACTGATAAAAAGCATACACCCACCGTGACCATTCCTGTGAGACGGGTGAGGACGCCGCAACAGCATAAAAGGTACCCTACGATATTCATCAGCTCGATGGCGACCATGTGGAAGGTGAAGACGTCGGAGTGGCTCGCCGCCGTGCCGGAGCGCCGTTGTTTGAGTCCCAGGTAGACGACGTAGACGCAGGGAGGGAGGACCAGCAGGAGGCTGCAGACGGTGAAAGCGATGCTGCTGGAGGCGCCGGCTGGACTTCTGTAGCACTTCTGCAGGAATTCAATGATAATGATCGAGGAAGAGTTGGAAGGAGGAAACGAGGAAGAGGAGTTGACTGACATGACTGGGGGCAAGAGG